CCTTTCGGTAAACCTCCAGTTTGGAAGCGTGGGGAGATTTTGAAACTTTCCTTGCGGGGGCGAGGGAAGTACGGAAAAACAGCCCTTTGGGAAAGATGGGGTGTGTAAACGGTCTTCTGCTTTTGGGCAGAAAAAGTTTTGGGGTTTTTTTTTTCTGTGTTTTTCTTTCCCTTTTATCTTTAAAGGAAGAAAAAAGTAAAGAATGGAATAAAGAGGTGAATGGCAACATGGCAGCCCGACCAGAAGGCTATGTAAATCTCTTTTAAATGCATCCTTAGCTTTATCTTACCTATATATATATATAAAAATATATAAAGACGCATTTGTAGATGGATGTGGGATGACCTAGAATTTTTAGTAATTTAATGTAATGCGGGAAGTGCAGCAGACCCCTTAATCTCTTTCTTAGTAAGTGGGAAGAAATGATTGTAATAGTTGCGGGACACGGTAAGAATTACAAACCGAGCGTACTAAAGGAGTTGCTTATTATTATCCTTTAAGATGCCTCAGTTTCAAAGACTGTCTCTTTTGGAGATTAAGACGGATGTTTCACCTTTCAGATGTAACAGTAAAATGAAAGTAAAGAAAACAAATGAAGTAAAAACAAATAAACAAAAAGCCTACAACTTTTAAAATGGCATCACAAGTATTTTCTCACGATCAGTGCTGCAACAATTCAAATGCCCACTTATTTTACTCGCTAGCTGTCTGCTTCCCCTCCCTCCGCAGCTCGAGTCGCTTCTCACTGATGCCTTTAAGGGGAAGGGATTTCAGAAAATAAGTGAACTGCTTCAAGAGGGAGAAATAGAGCCTCCCCAGAAATATAGCGAATCCCTCTTCAACCAGCTAGACAAAGCACTGAGAAAGGCGAGTACCGTAAATACTCTTAACCATCTTAATGCCCAGCTCTGTGGGTATCAGACTAATGAAGCGCTGTGCTCTCCGTTTCTGTAGGAGCTGGACAAAAATGCATTCCAGAATGTTTCGCTGCTGCTGAAATGTATTCAGCTCTACTTTAAAAGTGACCTTGAAGAAGGGACGAGTTTGTTTATTGAGCAAGGACTGGTAGAAAAGATGAGTATAATACTTTATACAAGTTACTAATGTGATTTAAGGTTGCTTGTGTCAGGAAAAGAACTCCAAGGAAGTGAGAGCTAGAGGATGGCTTGTTGGCCACGCAGAAATGAAGTATTTTTTAATATATTGCATGAGCTAAGTGGGTAAATAATGTTTACGTTCATTGCATTACTTCCAGTTTAGCAGCTAACATCGTGGCTTCACTTATTACCTGACTTAATGGGTTTGCGGGTTTTTTTTTTTAATCTGGCAATGGAAGGAGAGGATGCCACTAGCAGCGTGCATTGTGTCAAGGAGGTCCTGAGCACCACGAGTAGGTGCCTTGAGAGGAGAAAGGAGGACAAAAGGAGGTCTGGGGAGGGAAGGGGGATAAGTCCTGCTGAGTGGGGGTAAGGGTAGCACTTTTCATGTACTCCTAGTAAAATTCGAGCTCCTTAATGCTGTGTAGCTTTTGACACAGTACATGATTCTGAAGTTCAAGGACAAAAAAAACCCCAAAAAACAACCACCCCAAAACTGCCTATGTGCATAAAGTTTCCTGCAGATATAGCTAGTTTAAGGATTAACTCTTCTTCCCAGGTTTTAACTGATTCTTTTAACTTTTACCTGGTATCTTGGTTTGAAAGAGCAAGAACATTTGTGATCCTCATCGACCCAAACGAGAATAAATTTTTGATGTTACTTCTTGAAGACTTCTTTGACTCTGCTTTGGTATGTACGTACATTAAGAGGGCAGAAGGGTTGCCTTTATTGGATAAGAAAGCCATTGTTCGCCAACAGCTTTCTGCTAAAAATTTAGTAATTTATGCAGACCTTGTGCTCTAGCACTGAGCCTGGGAGGCAGCTCAGGTGGTGGGGACGGGCAGTGCCCAGGAGCCTGCTCTGGGCTGGCATTAGGCTGAGGTTTGACACACCTGGGAGAAGCTGCTGTGGAGCTGCAGCATTTTCTCATTTTCTAACATGAAGCCAAGTGTTTGGTTTTGGAGGAAAACATGCAAGAAATTCTGATGCATTTTATAAATGCAAGTTTTTGTGCTGAAGCCCTTGTTTAAAAACAGAAGTTACTGCTACCGCTGAGCTGCACCTTATGTGCAAGTGTTTTTGCCAAGGTGGTCCTGGAAATTTGTTCCTGTGGTGTTTGAAACAGCTGATTTGCTTTTAAAGAATAAGCTGCTTACAATTTTCATTCAGGTTTCTGTTTTAAATATTCATTACTTTAAAGGTATTGGAAGCCTAGTGATGTAAATTTTCAGTAGAAAGAATGCTTTTAGCTTCTTTCCCCAAGCTGTTCCCCCAGCCTCGTAGTCTGTAGCTTATGGGATCTGTGTCAATTTGTGCATCAGAATTTATTTGAATGCTTATGAGTCTTTTTAGGAGACTTGATAAAAGATATTTGAGCAAAATCAAATTTTCTTCTTCCTTTACTTACCACATTAAAATTATATGAAATACTCTATACATTAATTATTTGTCAAAAATTTGATTTCTTTGTCTTCCTGGTCCATTTCTTGGATATGCTTTCACTGTGGAGGATGAAGTGGGATTTTTTTTTTTAATTCATGTTGTGGTTTGTGTGGGGTTTTTTTGATTTTTATTTTTAATTTTCCTGGAGGGACTTCAGCTTCAGGTATCATATGTTATGATATCTAGTACTGTAGTGTGTAAATGTAAAATGTGTTTTTACATAGGCCCATATGTGTAATAGGTTATGAAGCAATGCCACGATGTGGGTTTTCCAGGGAACCTGAGGGCACCGCACTCTCGAGCGCTCCTGAAATTCCCCAGGGGAAGTGGATGCTTTGCTCCCTTTACCCTCCCTGCATAATGCCAACCTGTATGATCGGGGTGACCATACGTGACATACCTGTATCAGGTGGCAGTGCTTTTTCTGATGTGGGTACAGTAATTTTTTTTATGCTGTGGTAGCCCCTGAAAGGTGGGAGCATTTTGATGAGGGCTGTTCTTGGGCTGTGGTGTGTTAATGAAGTCTTCCTTTGCTTTCTCCATCAGGTGATTTGCAGGTGCAGTAGTGAAGGTCAGTAATGTTTTCCCTGCCATTCCTACATATCCTAAACCTCAGTCTTGGGCGCACATTTCTTAATTCTGCTCGCACTCTTTCTCTTCTCCCCGCCACTCCCTACCTCCTCCTCCCTGCAATGTTTTCTTTAAATCCTCCCGCTAATTTCCCTCCAGTTAACGTTCATTAACATTTACATTGGTGCACACAACCTTTTACTGTTTCCCTTTGCTGCTTTTGAATATGCTGGGGGTGTGTGTGTGTGTGGAAATCTAGCCGTGGTACCTTGTTTGAATGATCGGCATCAAGTATTTCGCTTGCTGGGAGTACGTGGTGCAGACGGAAGGCGTTCAGGCCGGCCAGCCTGCTCTGGCACACCTCTTCCTGCTGCCTGCAGACCTTATTCCCTTGCCGAAGGCAGCCACCCCCGCAGAATGACAGGGTAGCTCTGTCAGCCGTCCTGGCCGGGCAGAGGGGTGTCTGTCTGTCTCTGGCTCATTTCGGCGGTGGGATTTCCCTCGGTGGCCGCAGCTGGCTTTCCACTCGGGCCGGGGAGCAGGTGCTTTCAGGAAGAGCAAGAGTCCGTGTGCCCAGAGATCCCGGCTCACAAGTCATGTAAAAATGAAGCATGACGTTGTGGGCTGGGTAGCTTGAGCTTATTCATCCTTGTAGCTTGTTCTAGTGGTCACAGAGCGGGCACGAGCGTGTTCTGGTTAATACTCTAGTGGTTTGCTCCCACTTTGTCAAAAACTGTATATTATGGATTTATCTGTTGTGATTAGTAAGTGGCTTCTCCTTTCTGTACCTATTTAAATAGTTACCCAGGTCAGCAGTTAAAGTATCTGGAGCTTTTTTTTACAGAGAAGCTCCAAGTTCCCTTTTCTGTCTAGGACTAGATGGTTGCCAAGCTTTATTTAAAACTGAATCCCCAGCTGGGGTATTCTTACTACTTCAACACCACAAACTGTAGTTGCTTCAACTGTCTTTTATACAGAGACCAGCCCATTCCTAGCTGTAACCTTGCAAATGATTTTTATAGGGAAGAGAAAGCTGGTGAATTTATTTTTACCTGAACTAGGGCATCTAGTGACGGAAGAAGATATTTGCTGCGCTCTGCGGCAGGAGGTAAGACTCCTACTAGGAGAAGAAAATACAGACACATGCTCACACAAGCACGTGTCATTAGATAAAAAGTGGAAAAATATGTTACTGAATTCTTTCCCTTCCTGTTCTGCCCCTTCCTTTGTGGGGGGAAAGGCTTTGAGGACCCTCAACTCTATACTCGACAGTGTTCCGCGGGAGGAGAGAAAGAAATTCCCCCTGTCTCAAGAGATGTGCTCGCTCACGTAAGTGGCTTTCATTCCAACTCTTGTTGCAGAGAAGAAGGTGTTTAGCTGCAGGAGTTAAAGTTATTTCCACTTTAACTTGTTGCATTATGTTGTTTCAGGAAAGACCTTGCAAAAACTATACTGGAGGTTGGTGGTAAGAAGTGCTTAGTGGTTATTCTTATGAAGCTGGCGTTTTCTGCCTCTACTTCATCTGCTTATTATAGACTAATTATAATTGAAATTATTTCCTTGTAGATAGTTTGGTTTTGGGGAGGAAAATCAGATGGTACTTTAAGAAAATATTAATAAAAAATTGTTAGGTGCAACAATGCATTAATTCTTTCTGGTTAGTATTAATAATTGGTATTGACTAATAAGAAAAGCTGAACTGATATATGTAGAAAGGTAATTAGATCAGATTGCATGTTTACAAAGTATGCTTGCTGTTAGTCTTCTAAAAAACAAATTTTAACCACTTTGCCACGATGTGTGCAAACTTCAGTTAATAAGGTTTATAGCCTCTTGAGGGAAATCTTGTTTGTTTTTCTCCTAACAATAACACTTTCTAGGGTGTTACCGTGGTAGGTGAAATATAACTTAATCGTAGTGAGTTAGTGATGAGGCTTTGCTCTCATCCCCTCCCTGATCCCCAGGAACATCTCCCGACGCAGACGCGTGCGTCGTGGGTAGCAGCGCTCGGCGCCTCGGCCCGGCTGAGCCGGGGGAGCTGAGGATGCCTGGAGCTAACGCTTGGCGGTTGCCCTCCGCTGTTTTCCTAGGTGAAACTGGAGCTAGCCCATGACTACGACGGTGTAGTGTATTTGTGCAAGAGTAGCAATGCTATAACCCTCTGATATGCTGGGGGGGATGTTTACCCTCTGCTTCTGTTTACCATGTAGATTATGACCTTCAGGTTGCCCTTTCAGAAGCAGTTTGTAGGTTAATGACAAAAAAATGGAGGGATGACCTTGTTCACCACTGGTTTGAAGATAACTATCTTGCTGAAGCTTTCAAAGAGATCAAGGATAGAGAATTTGAGACGGTGAGGGTCCTTACTTTGAAAACAACATGCTTGACAAGTCTGCATAGGGGCTAGTTTTGTTTGAGTTCAGTCAGGATGTCCTTGTAAGAAGTTTCTACAAAACTGATTTTATAAATACACGAAGTTATATACACAAAGTTATTTAGTTATTTGTGGATGGTGGGTGGGGTTTTTTTGTGTTTGTTTTTTTTTTTTAAATCTGGCAAATATAACATGGCATATTGTTAAAATAACTCCTATTTCTAAGGTATTTTACTCCTAAAGCACGAATAAGTTAATTTTTGTGGTTTATGTTTGGAGGCTTGCTGGTCATAAGTTGGGTTGAACCATTTGTAGTACCTTGAGTGTTTCTTCCCTGATGACCTTCAGAATCACACTAACTAGTTAAAAACTTACAACTGGAATAGAAGTTAGACAGCCGAATAGAGTAACTCTTTGCAAAGGAAATGCAGCCTGTTTTTTAATAAGATGTCATTTGTCTTGAAGGACTGCAGAAAATTTCTCAACCAGCTAAATGAAAGGCTTGGGGATGAAAGAAGGTAAGCTGTGAACCAACAGACTGGTGCTGTCACTACTGCAGAGGGGAAAAACTAGGATTATAAACAGACTTGGGTTATGTTCTGAAGAAAAGGATTTACATCACATATGTGAATAATTAAGCTCTTAAGAAAGAGATTTTATTCATTTTAATGGTGGTTCTTTTGAAAGTAAAATCAGTGAAGGCACCGTATCATTACTAAAATACAATATTCTCTAAGCTTCTCCAAGTTTAATTTGCTTCTAGGAATTTATTAATTCTCTTTTGAAGAATAAGATTAATAACCGATCTTAATGATTTTCTTTTGTAAAGTTGGACTCTGATGTTGAATGTATCATGTGAAGTCTGCTTTTCTTCCAGAGTCTATTCATTTCCTTGCATATCTGCTTTTGCTGACATGAACGAGGTAATGGTCCTGAACACCGTGACACACCTTCCCTGCAGGGTTACCGCTGTTAAAACGTTACTTTCTGTGGCACATGGGCTTTTTTTTTCTCCTCTTTCTCATTAAAGAGCATAATTTCCTGGGGTGCAGAGTGTAACCTTCAATTCTAGCTGGAAGGTTTGCTTGTTTGTCACTTAGCTCCCAACTTACCGCTGCTGACTTTGCTTTTGTATCAGCCGAATGATAGAGCAGTGCTTCTCTTCATGGTGATGACAGAAGAGAGATCTCTTAAAAAGAAACAGGAGGACAGGACAACTCTGATTCCTCTGGCAGAGCTGCTCCCAGACTGCCAGAAAACAAGATTAGCCCGATGCCTGTGTAGGAGAGGTCGTAGCCGCAGTTATAGATCCCGCAGATTGCTTTACTGGTCTTTAAGTACACGTGTACTTAAGTACAAAGCTACAAATATGTAGCACCATTCCCGACAGTTGCATCGAATCAAAACCATGTCAGTGGAAGGCTGGTTCCGTGCCTCTGCTTATTTCAAGTGCTCAGAAACACAGAAAACTTTCACGGACTCCCCCGGCCTCTTCCCCGCCGCAAACGTGTGGGCGTTCGCAGACTGCCTTTCCCTTGGCTGGTGCAGAGGGGTGTCTGACGGTGGGTGGGTGGGTGAGCAGTGGGCTGGCAACTCGCAGGTTGATCCAACTCTTATTTCTGTAAGGTATGCATATGTAGGGCAACTTTTTCCAATTTTTTCTTGTTAAAGAAACCTGAGATTGATACAGCAGTTGTGGGGTTTTTTTCTGGGAATGGCAGCGCTGCTGTTGTACTTCCCCAGGTGAAGAAGCCATCGGATGAGAAGCTGGAGGAGTTCTGGATTGACTTCAATGCCGGCAGCCAGAGTGTGACTTTCTATGTGGACAGTACCGAGGTAACAGCGAAGCCCAGGTGGCTTTGCGTTAGCCTAACGCAGTGGGTGCTTGCTCAGCCCTTCTGATGTGGTGGCTTTGGTTTTCAAAGGGTGCTCTTTGGGACTCTGTGAGGTTGTCGAAAGAAGCAGTCAGCAGTTACAGCCTGAAGGGTAAGGTTTTCCAACTGGTGTAATCCTCTGCCTGGCTGTGGGCCCACAAGACACAGCGAGTCAACCTAAAATCTCACCATCACCGAAGAGAGGTTCTAGGTCTCCCCTTCTCCGTCGTGCACTTCAATGGTCACCTTGCACCAGCTCTGCTTGTTGGACTGTCTGTGGGCCTGTTTTGCACAACAACCTACCCTCCCTACCCAAGCAGGACGTGTTGAGGGGTCTGTTCATAGATGTGCTAGGGAATAGCATAGTCTTCTAGATCCAGTGAGAAAGAAACAAGTGAGCAGAGTAATTGGAAAAGCGTGGGCAAGATGTAAAAGAGACTGTTTTTAAAAAAAAACCCAGACACATTTAAAAGTTTTTGGGGTGATAGACTGAATGTCTTGCTCTAAACCAGGTTTAACTGCTTTTTTTTTTTTTTTTACACAGAGAATGATGGAGAAAAGATTGTTAAAATTTATATGAAGATGCCTGCTACTTTTAACAAAACAGAAGTAACAAAAATAAAAATATCTTTCAGTGCTGAGTTTGAAATCTTAAGTATACTTAGAAAAGTCCTGGGAGATGAAAAAATGATGGTAAGCTCTCAGTGTGAGTTATTTTTCTTTTCTAAACTATATTTTACTTGATATACACTGGGAAAAAACTCTGTGGGTTGTTTCTGTGGATTTTTTTTTTTTGTGTGTGTGTGTCTGTTTATTATATATTCATCTTCCCCTTGAGGATTTGTGACTCCCTGTATAGATGTTCTTTGCTTTGGCCTGAAATAGAGGTTGGAGACTTTAGGAAAGAAGTTTCAAGGGACTCAAATTGTTGGTTTAGAAGCTAGAAGGTTAAACTGTTTTTAAATCAGTCAGTGTGCGATGGCTTCTCCTGCTGAGTTGCTGAATTAGTAAATAAAGACTGTGGCATTTAATTGCCTAACCTGAAGTATGAACGTGCTCTTATGTTAGATCAAAGTGTTACGTTGCACAGGATGAACAAATTTTGACACGAGAACGTGGAGAAGGGAAAAGGGATGTGACAAGACACAAATCTTGGATTGACTTTGTAGATAGTGCTTCTAGATTAAAAGTGGTGTACTTTTGAATCTTCAAGTTTTTAATAAGATAATGCAAAGACACAGAGGTTGTGTATGACTTTTTCTGTTAAATGTTAATGTGGTTAATTTTTGTACTTGTGATTCATCCTCAGACCACAGGTTTTGCAGAAAACCTTATGTGACAGTCAATAGTCATACTATTGTGGCTGTCACTTACCCTTGCAGGAGCTGAGACATTTCCAAATGGTCAACTCAACTAGCATCCAGTGATTTGCTGATTATTTGTTGCTGGTGATTAACAACTGCTAGTTTTGTTATTAAGTAGCTGACTTTACTAGATAAGGATTCTACTTTTTTTAAGGTCACTTTCACATGAGATTAATTCACACCAACAGGTAAATGTGGCTGAAGAGGAATCTGTCCACGCTGGGAAGCAAGCCAGGCAGAATGAAGCAGGTGGGTTTTTTAATTATTATTTTATTTTATGAAATTTAAATAGTTCAGTTTTAAAATGAGTTTCTGCACTTGCAGTCCACAACTTGCAGTTAACCACATTTAAAAAAAAAAACAAAAAACAACCCCAAAGCTCAATCTTCTACTGTTCATATCTCGTGAGCTTGGTAACTGGTGTGTTTGGCGGATGCCGAGTCCCGGGGGTGAGGATGGGGCGCGGTGGCCGTGGGCTGCAGGGATTGCATGGGCAGGGGAACCACTGGCGGAAACTGGATCCGTGCGCTGGCAGGTAGCCTGGCAAGGCGCGTCTGGGCTGCTGGCAGGACCTCTGACACGCAAAGAGTGTGCAGGAGTGTTTCTCCACCTGCGGGTGCGGTGGGATGCACCCATCTGTCCTCCCCTCCTTGCCCTGTGCGTGGCTCCTGGTCTGGCTGTGCAGGCGCTTGTGGGAGACTCCCCACGGGAGAGGACTGTGGCATTTGCGTGCCCATGGAAGCACAGGTCCTCTGATGGACCAGCGCTTGTACCTTGGCACTTGACGTGCTCTCCTCGGTGTAGCAGGGGTGCGCGTGTGGTGACGCGGCCTCTACCAAGGCTTCCTGCAGGGAGGCGACTTCCGTTTCTTTCTGACAACGTGTCGCCATAGCGAACGGTGTCCTCCGGTCCTGTCGGCCCACGCAGGGTGGATGATGCCCTGGAGATGCCTGGTGCTGTTGTGGATGTGCAGCCGAGGGAGCAGAAATGCTCACCTGTGGTCCCCGTTTGCAGAGGGAGACGAGCGGCACAGCTCCTCTCTGCAGGAGGTGACCCGCTGCCGCGCGCAGCGGCATCGTGGGCGCCGCCGTAAATGCGTCGCGTCACAGGGCTGCTTGCGTGCGCCCCAGCTACAGACGTAGCCGCCTGCCTTACGGTAGGAAAGGCTCACAGCTGGACCTGCAACATCTCCCTCCCACCAGCCTACAGCCCGTGCTTTGTATTTCTTTGAATTGGGCACGTTGAATTTTCCATGATCAAATGGTGTCGTTTCCCGTACCGCCGGTGAACGTCTCCTGCAAGATGTCTCCTTCCAGGATCGTTTGACTGAGTTTAATTTTGTTCCAAATGTGATAGATGTAGAGGGAACACAGAGCCTGAAGTAGAGGTGTGACACCTGGGTGCCTGACCCAAAGGAATGTCCAAGCCCAGCAATGGTCTGAGGGGAAGAGAAAATAGCTTCTTCCTTTCCCTTTATCCTGCTCTGACATTCTTCTGCAAGTCCCTACCAAGGCCATGACCCACAGTTTGAGGAAAACCTGCTTTCAGCACAAAAGCAAGATATGCATGACCAAAACTGATCATAAACAGGAAATGTTTCCTTGGCTCAATTTCAGTACCGTATTAATTTGGATGTGGCTTTTTTCTGTACAGTGACTTTTTATTTTTTATTTTTTAAATTTATTTTTCTGTTTGAAGGCTGGGTTATGTCCTTGCTGCAAAACCGGCTGTATTTCTGTTTTTAAAGTGATTACTTTTTCTGTAGATTATTCCTTGGTGTAACTTGCTTAACAGATATTTCCACATCTTCTAAGATGATGAACTCGCAGCTCTTTTTCTGCTGCTACCACCCACTGTCTTGGAAATGAATCGCAAGTTTGAAGAGCCCTTAGGTAGCATTCTTTCTGTGATGATGTTAAAAGCAGGTTTTTACTTTCCTCTTAGTTACTGTGCATTTCAGATTTCTGCAGGTGTAAACACTCGAAAAAGCTATTTCCAGCTCGATGTTTGAGACAATAACTTCTTCAGTAGTTCTTTCCATTTTTCTCCAGTTACAACCCAAAATGAGCTAGAATGAAAGTCCTCCATATTCTGGAGGTGCAGGTGAAGGTGCTCCTTCATCAGTGGCCACCATGAAGCACACACACAAGAGGTACAAAGTGTAGTAGTAGAGGGCACTACTACTTGGAGCAATCAAGGAGTGGGAGCAAGAAGGTAGTTCATCTGCAGTGAAACAACTTTTGCGTTGCCTGGTTGAGATTCAGTGGAGGGAAACACAGATGGTAGAAGAACCTGCTGGGATCAAGGGTTGTTCCATGTCTTCCAGAGCTAAGAGTCAAGGTAGCAATAAGATGATAAGCTTATATATATTCATATAGTATGAGGGGCTTAGAAGGGATAGGCTCAAGATGCTGTTTATTTAGTATTGCAATTCTGCACTAAGTAATTTGGAGATGCTTGATGATTTTGTTCTATCAAATATGATCTTGATGTTTGCACCTAGTAAGTTGCACCGTTATGTGCATGTGTGAGAACGGAAAGGGGTGCGTGTGTGCATGTCTTCAATTATTGCAACAACTTTCTCACCCCGATTGCTGTTCTGCAGTGATATCCGAGTCCACTAACCCACAGAGGAGGGAAGATCCTTCAGACTCTGAAAACGTGGAGGCTCTATCAGACAACTTAGCCTCTCAGCACAGCCAGCAGTTAACAGGCACTGTAGCAGTAAGTGATTGTTGTATGGCGAAACAGCCCTTATGCCCATTTCCCCCCTCCTCCAGTCTGCTTTTTTTTAATAAGCGTGGTTAAAACCTTCCTTCAAAGAAAATGAGTTTGTACCCAGATCGACAATGTTTTCAAACTCTGTCTTATATTGTTGGGAAGTCAGCCCAAACACTTGCCTCTATAGCTGCAATAATGGCAAAACTGCTTTAACAGGAAAAGAGATTTTACTCGCTCTTGTAAGGGGGGATAGTGTGAAGCTCATAGTATCACTTTTATGCAACCAAAAGTGTTTTTGTCTGGCTAATGATGAACCTGTCATCCACCTGTTGCCACAGGCGAGCACTGAAATTCTCTGTTCCTAAAAAACCCTACTTCTTTATTGGTCATATTCATGCTCTGTTCATGGTTTCGTGTTTCTGAGCAGAAAATGGTTAACTCTGGTGTCACTGTGATTCCAATGAGCCAGCAGACTGATGTGGAAGATGCCAACCAAGGCTCAGGTCAGGCATGGCTCCCTTCAACTCCTTAAGTCTGACCCAATTAAGTGTCACCCAGGTGACACAGTGAAGGCTCTGCTTTTGTGGGCCTTGCAGCAAAAGCAGATGAAGTGTTTAATAGTAGCTCCCGAGGGTGAAGCTGTAGTTTCCTTGTCTCCTTCAGCAAAAAAGTCCAAAACTCCATCTCCAAGGATGAAAGCTAAGCCTAGGTGAGTGTATTGCAGATGAAAAGTTACAAGGTGGGGTTTTCTTCTGGTTTTGTTTTTTTTGTTTTCCTTCCCCTGGGGTTTTAGTGCATGTGATTGAGGTTTATTCCATCAGTTATTAAATTGAAAAATAGATTCTGATTTGCCACCCTGGCTAGCAAGGCTGGTTGCGCAGAGTTACAGCACTTTGGAGAATGATGCTTGGTTACTGGCTTGTCTGCTGCTTTGGTGTGACTTTTTCTCTCTTATCATTGATATAATCCAAATACAAGATGAGCATACAACTGTATTAGAGTGTTTAACTTCAGCTGTGTAACCAGAGCTCACCATACAGGTAGCTGTTCATAATGAGGAGTGTTACTTTGGTGAAAGAGCATGTGAATTTGAGTTTCACCTTGGCATTAGTAATACCTTTTTCCAGAGCTTTGCAGGACAGCATTTCTCTTAGTTAACGAGTTGGACTTCTGTAGAACTACTGATTAGCTTTCTTCCCTACACACCTTTTAAACTCCTGCTTTGATGCTAATTGGTGCAAGTTTTTTTTTCTCTTAGTACTTCACAGACCAACTCTTTGGGCTTTAGATGAATAGCCCCTCAGCACTGCATTCCCCTCATGTGTCCTCTTGTCCCCAGTGAGAAGCCCCTAGAAGAAGAACCCATGGAGGAGCCAACACCAAAGGTATGTTTGCTTTGGGGCCCACCTAAGTAAAGAGACATGGGGCAGGGAAGAGGTGCTCTGGTGGAGTTGCAGAAGCCAGCTAGGATGGATTGACCCACTCCTGCACTTGAGCAGTGCCCTGAGCCCACGTGTACTGTCATTCGTACCTGATGTAACATGCTGTTTGGCAGCAGGAGCGAGCTGTGGAGGCAACAGTTGCCAACCTCATTCTAGTGTGACCCAACCAAGTAATTCAAGCTCAGCTGACAGTGGTGTGCTGTTCTTGTGTCCAGGAGCATGGTGTGTGGGCAACCAGCCTGGCCCTGTGTGGGACAAACTTGCATGTTGCAAGACTTGGGCGCCGTCTGCAAGAGCAAAGATTTGCTTCCTGAAGGAAGCAACTCTTGGAAGCCTACAGACATGTTTGTTCAGTTTTGTACCTGGGCTCTAATGGTCCTCCCAAACTAGATCTCTCTCTCTACTCCTGGCATTAAGAGCTTGCAACCTGGGTAAATTAAGAAGTACCTGGGAGCCATGGGTAGTTGTGTTTCTTTAGGCAACTTGAGCACTTGGAAATTTCTACTGATGTGTCCGGGTATCCAAAAAAATAATCTATGCACTACATGAGAGACATTCCCAAAGCAACAATTTTAATTCGGAGTAGGTACTTAGATTATGTAAGAAACGACATTTTAGACTTGTTCTTAGGTTTACATTTCTAGGTACTAGGTTTAGATTTTTTTTTAAATTTATTTTTAAACTAACAGTTCAAAGGTTTCATAACACTTGCCTACTGCACAATGAATTCAAAGCTTTTGAACTACTTCTTTCTGTATCCTCACCCCCTTGGCTCCCCAATTTCAGCTCTGGGATTCTCCTACTCTCTGGTAGGAAATAGCTGCAGGAAACAGAGATGGACGGCTGTTGCGACAGGAGGAATGATGTTTCCTGTCACTCTTTATCTCTGCTTTTAGTGGGCTCTAGGGTAAGAACATGACTTTGTGTATCGTGGTTTCAGATCCTGCAACTCTTTTCCTTTTCAGAACGATGTTACCTGGAAAAAGAGAAACAGAAAAACAAGTCTGGCCAAGCGGAGGACTGAAGGCAGGTATGAGACACAAGCCCTGTGCCCATGCAGGGACTGGGGTACCAGGTGATTTTAGACCATTTCTGGCACTAAGGGGGGAAGGGAGTGCCCGCAGGGCACTAATTGTTCTGTCTGAACAGAACAATTAGCAAAACAAGCAGGAGACCATCAAGGGTTATAACTTGTCTTTCTGGGAACCTCTGGGTCCCCAAAGCAATAAAGACTTCAGAAGCTAACTCTAGTCTGCCAAAAATGCCCTCACCTCTGTGACACTACGTCATGTAGGCTCTTCCATTTTTCCTCACCCAGCCATAACGCTCCCATCCCCCAGTGAGTTGAGTTATGAGCGGCAGCTTCGTTCACAAATACATAAGCTTTTTCAGATATTGTCCCAGGTTTTTGGCATCACGTGTCCTAGAGTTTCAGGACAGGCTGTTTGTCTGTCCGCTTCCCTTGCTCCCATACGTTGCTTCGCTTGTGTTCAAAGCTAGTGGCACTGCAGGAAGATGCACTCGGGAGTTTGAGAACCATGTGCATTCTGCAGCACTGGAAGTCATTGACGCTCCTCCTGCGCTCTCTGCCAAGCGTTGTGTGCAAGTTAATGCCCGCTGCTGGGCGAGAGAGCGAATGAACTGTACACGAGGATCTGTGCTGCGGTTCTGGCTGTTCCAGGGCTTCCTTGGATGTCCTGCATTAGTCTACTGGCTCTTCGCTTAAAAAAAAAAACCTCAACAACAAATGTTTAGATGATTTTTTTTTTTTGATTGCTTGTAGATAGGAATGGGAAAAATTGATGCGGAACCTTCATCATTACTACAGGTTCTGGATTTTAATATCGAATAACTGGATGCAGCAAGTATTGGTTGTAAAACAGGAGTAGCAGTGTAGAAGTTAAGAGATGGAGAAGGATTTACTTCGGTCATTCTGCTCCCTCTAGTGTTTCATGTGAAAACGAGCATTTCCCTCCTTCAGGAAGTTTTAACGAGAAGAACTTAGTTCTTTAGTCTTCCTATCCTTTCACTAGTAAGAAGAAGAGGGTGTGCTGTATGTTGAGCAATAATTGTAGGACTTTTAAAAAATAGTTACGATTTGGAGAAAGAAATAAAGATACAGTTAATTTTAAATGTTGGAAGACATGAAAATAAAATCTAGATGCATTCAGAGAAGTGATTACAGAACAAACACTAAATCTTAGAATTTTCAGAAGGGAATTAAACAGATTTTTTTTCTCCTCTTAGATGCTTCTGAAATTACCTTTTCTTTCATGATTTCTTCCTACCACCTACTATTATTGGTGATGTGGGAACAAAATGTCCACTGCATAAACAGGGAGAGGCTAACTTGTTTGTACCTTCTGACTGTTTCTCTTAAAGTTAAAAATTTACAATTGAAAGAAAGTGTGAGAATGAAGACAGACAATAATAGAGACTAAGTAGGAAAGGAACAAGTTTGTTTTTTTTTTTTTTAAGAAGCTGAAGAAATAGCATTTTTAGGCATATAAAGTATTTGAGTATTTACTGTATAATAGTTTTCATAAATGGAGGTGGGAAGGGGGGCGGGAACAAACCACATTATCCCCCCTGTATTCTTAGTGAAGTTCTATAGGGTGACTCGTCATGATTGTATGTCACTGCCATGTGTGTAAATGTTGTCTTGCAGGAAGGAAATCTATGACTTTGAAAACTCAGACTGTGCAAGTCATGAAAAGGTAAAGTTGAGACAGAAGCTGTTTGGAGGTGCACTAAGGTCCCAGCTCTGCAGCTACCAGAGAGCAGTAACTTGAAGAGGGGATATCTCGTACTGCAGAAATGCAGTAAGGATGGACTTGCTGTTATAGCAAAACAGACAACGGGGAATCTGAGGTTTCTGTGTTTCTGTATGGTGCTCTACATGGAAATACATTTTTGGGGTAGGGAGGGTGCTCATCACTTCTTGAATCTCATGCTGGGGGTAGGTAATTTATGATAAAACCAACTGCAATAGGAATTTGAACTGTGGCTTGAGTGAGGCTGTGGAATATCTTTGTGATTGAAGGCCAAACTCTGTTTGCATTTAGTGAATATTGCAGACAGATTGCTGAGTGTCCTTCGCTTTGTACTCCTAGGCTACACCAGAAGAGACTGAAATCTGTTTTGAGTCACACTTGGTGTGTTGGCAATTCCTGGTTAAACCAGTTGTTGCAAAACTTCTGTTAGAAATTCAGCTTGACTTATATTTGCAGATTGTTAGAAAAATTGGATAAAAATGAGTCACTCTGCCTGCTTTGAAACTTTGACCAGTGCAGATTTTCCCAGGAAGCTGAAAACTTCCTCCTGACGGCTTCTGCCAAGGTGGCTCCACCATACAAACCCTTTGGTTTTCAGCCTCTTCCCCAGTGCAGGTGCTGTCACTGCCGCCTGTTAATTCGGAGGCGATGGGTACTGAATGAGACGCCTCAAATTACTGCTGGAAACTGGACGCAGTCCAGCCCTTGCTACTGCCACTGGGTGTCAGCATAAAACCCCGCTTCGTGGCACCCTGCCCGGTGTCCCAGCAGCCCGGTCCAAAGTCTGCCCGCTTAGCGGCGTTATTGCTTAAAATGATGTTTCTTAAGACATTATTCTTAATATAAGCATTATTAATAAAGCAATGAAAAGAGAAAGTAACCCCGTTTAAGATATAACGAATGTTTGTCCATTATAATTTAGGACACTGTTTCAATCAACAAATCCCACTCCATTAAAAAGTTGAATTTCCATGCTGGACTCATGATTTGTTCTTCCTCTAGCCGTTTTAATTTTGTAGATTATTTTATGCCGTTATTGGACTTCAGGACTACTGAAATAGCTACTTCTTTCTAGGTTGCTGAAGCCAAAGGAAAGATTCTTGGCCAGAAAGTTTCTTCACAAAATAAGAGGTACAGGATTATACATGCGCCGTTGATGAACCTTTTTCTCTGTGAAAAAAGAGTTAATTGTCTTAGTTAAGCTGTTTTGAAGTTGGGATCAAAAAGACTGTGTGATGTTTCTAAGAAAACAGTTCCTTGCTTAGCTGCCACAGTATCTGTGGATATTATCAATACTAATATTGAAACAGCGCCTGAGAATATAAAAGTTGCTAGAGAGAATAATGACTCCTGTCGTCTTTGACAATAATAAGACTTTAACTCTTAAACATCCCCCTCCCCTGATCATGTGCCTAAATTACTGATTTAATTTTTGAAAAATGCTTGAGCCCTCTGTCGTCTTGCTTTGGGCATCTCCAATTACAGGAAGCTGCCAGGGACTTGCCACCTCTAAGTATGTAGCCTATTTTTTCTTTTTAAAAGTGCTAATTTCCAGGTATCCCTGGATTGTTACTTTCAGAAACCAACCAGAGAAGAAAAACTCGGCTAATGACTGTGTGTTAACAGTTTGGGTGTCTGGCTGATCTCTTAAGGAACTCCCTGCTGCTGCTATTTGGCTGTTCCCCTTCTGCACTGCTGTGATGTGCTATCGCAGCATCTGCTAGTCTAACTTGAATCTTTGTGGGTTACTTGGCAGGAGTTATGAAACGGGAAACAAGAATGAGGAAGCAAAAAAGCTCGAGAGAAGGCCGGTAGGTCATCTGTACTTTTTCATCCCAAAAGCCTTTGACTGCTGTGCATATCCACCTGTAAAATTGGTTGCACTCTTTAAGAGGCTGAAGTTTCAGGCTTTTCTGGTGTGGAGGTGGAGGAATGTGAGCCTGGTAGCCTCAAAATAGTCTGCTTGTTGCTACCGAAAGCAGTGCTCAGGATGCACCAGGACTGCCAGACCAGCGAGTAAATGCCCGTGTTCATTCTTTTTCTGGCTGTGCTCTTGGCTGCAGCTCAGGCAGGCTGAGGCTTTCCTCCTTGCAAGAGCTCTTTTATCTGGATGCAGGAGGAGGGGGAGCGTGAGATGGAGGATGCTGTAAAACCCATGTTGGCAGAGGACAAGCATCTGCCTCTTGGTGTTTTTACTGTGCAGTGCCAACTGCTGGGTTGGCAGTTAACTGTTGCTGTTTTGGCAGATTTCACAGCTTAAAATGCTTCAGGTGCTGCACTGTCTGGACAAGAAATGGAATAATTTGGTAGTAAATTAAGGGGAAGGGTTGGGGGACTTCTGAGTAGACAGAGGGGACTGACTGAGCAGAACTCACTCTTAATAGTATCTTTAGTCTAATTACAGGAAGCATCTTTTCTCTGAAAGCAACAATGAAAATACAAGTGCTGGTCAGAGTGAAAAAAGCTGGATCCTTGACTCTCAAAAACGGTCGTTGCCAAAATCTCTTGACTATACCCGAAAAAGACCCAGGGTGAGAAGTAAATTAAAAGGTAAGCTTGGTCCCCTGTTGACAGTTAGCTATGCGCGACATACTGCACTGCACATAAGGAGATGGCTGATGATGGTTTGAGAAGGAGCATTTGGCTGAGTCCTGAACTGAGTAGGAGAGAGGGAGCTCAAGGCTGGCAGCAAGGGGTGCTGTGTGGAGGAGGTGCATGGTGCACCCTTGTGCCTGAAGAACCAGGCTCCTGTCCCCTTCCCTCTGGTGAAAGTACTGGGATTGAAATGTCCTGGTGGAAACTGGGCACCTAAATGTCTGCGTGGGTGCAGCCCTCTGTGTAATGGGGCTGAGGAGCCCATATGTGCTGACCTGATGGCTGTGTTGGTGCTCTTGAACACAAGAGAAGGAAAGCCTCTCTGGAGCTGACATACCTCCTCCCTACAACTTTCCACTCCTTATCTCTCCAGAAATATAATTGATATGGTGAATAAACCTTGAAAAGCTACAGAGTTTGCAGACCATGGCACTCTGCTTCCCTCCCCCCTATTTAATACACTGACAGGCCAATTGTAATCCAAGTGATTTACAAAATCAGATGTGATGATCTCTGATAGCATACTCTACTCAGGCTTGACCAACAGCAAACCTCCCCCATGGCCATGCTCCGTGGCTGTCTGCTGCTGGGACCTCCAAATTCAAACTAAATTGCCCTGAAAGAGTTGGGATCTCTCTGTCCCTCTCATGGAGGATGAGCCTTGCTCAGGTAGCCATTGGTTTCTGCAGGGATGAAAAAGCAAAAGAAAGCTGAGGGAGAAACTATGCTTTATACTGTGTTTCTGCAGGAGTTGTCGTTCTCACTCCAGTGCCAGCCCACGCACCCCAGCTGGGGCTTGGGGACCATCAGATGAGCTGCTGAGCCTGCCTCTCTTGTTTGGCAACTGCGTTGCATGTCGCGAGTTGTGTACATTTGCATCATTTAGAAGCTTTGTCAGAAAAGATTTTCGAAGCTTAATGCAAGAGTTGTGAAGTTTTTGTAAATGCCTGGAAAGCGAAACTCAAAACTGAGTTACTCCAGCCATGATGCAAACCTTAACTGGGTAAGGCATGCAGTTAAGTTGTCAATAACTAGATGTGCTTTTCTCCTTGCAGTGCTTCCAGCGTCTTCCACGAGTAGTGGCAGTGACTACCAGACAAAGGAGGTAAGAGCAAGACAAAGAGCTGTCTTGCTTACGTGACTCAAGTTTAAAAACATTACATACGCAAAACATGTACAAATGAGTGGGAATTAACCAAACTGGTGTTATCTTGCTTCTTAAATATTCTGATGGACAAATTTGTCTACTAAGTATTGCTGAGACGGCATTGGTCTACTAGAGAGTGGGAAAACATGGGAAACTTCGCAGAATCAGCTGTGTGTGAGCCCTAAGCAAGTGGCACTGAAACTATCAGATTTAGCTGTGACAAAAAATTGGGCAGGAACTGGCATGCTTGATGTGTCAGCTGCCTGGGGTGATGCGGTGTCACTCCCAACAGGAACAAGTTCAGCTCTAGGGGCATGTCATGATTTAGAGCTGTCTCTCCAAATACCTGCAGTAATCTTAGTCAGGTCCTACCGGGCTGTGTCCCCACGCTGTCCTCTGCCCTGCCACCTGGTGCCTTGGAAAACCTCATGTCCTCCTCAGCATTTTGCCGGCAATTTTTGGGGCTTTTATTCCATGTTCTGTGCTCATGCTGAGTCCTGGTTCATGCACTTACAGCTATAGCTCTGGGAAAACTAACCATGGATTATACTGATGGGAGAATTGGTGGACCAGACATACATAAACCAAAATAAAATACAGTTTAGTAATGCCAGACTTTTCCAGTGCCCAGCTGTTAAGTGCTGTGAATTAAATGTTTTGAAAATGTCCCCATATAAATACAGAAGGTTTTTTTTTTTTGGGAAAAAACTCTCCAGAACTATTAGTTGCATTAAAAGCTTTTATTTTCCCCTGGAAACCTTTTCTTGTCACTTTTGACTGAAACGTTTGCATTCTGCTTATGAAAAACTTCATCTACTGTACAACTCTCATGGCAAGAGGGAGAACTTCTGCATGCATTAAACGTCAGGGAATAGATGCCCTTCAGTGTTGGAGGGAGCCATCAGTATGTAGGCATATTTCAAGTGTGTCTTTGCTCTTAGTGTGTTTAAAAAAACCAAAACCAACAAAAAAATGCCCAAACAAACACACACCCCTCCCCCCCCCCCCCCACAAACCAACCCAAAACCCTACTCCTGCAGTAATGTTTAAATAAAATACATGCTTAGACTTGGTTTTGTTTTAGCAGGGAGAATCAAGTCAAAGAGTTCAAAAGGAGATGCTAAGGAAAAAAAGCACATCCAGCTCCAAGGGAGATGATTTACATACTGTGGATCTTTCTGGTAATTCTTTTTTAATCTTCCCCAATGCACTAGAAAAGTTGTTTTGATATGTGTGGGTGTGTGTTTTTTTCTGGTGTGGTGTTTTATTTTTAAATTTTGCCTTTTTCCTTCACATTTTCTCTATAAGCATTCTGCCTTGTAATATTGCTTGTAATGGCTATGAGAGCCGGATATTGTTTGTAGATAAAGTCTCTTGAACAGGGAGAATATTAGCTGGGGCTAATGAGAGGTGAAGGAATGAACTTAACGGGCAGCCAGAAGTAAAAGAGCCTTTGGACTGAGTTTGAGCTACCGTCTCTTCCCTGTGTGAAGAGAGAGAGGGTGGTGGTTTCTTTTTTTTTTTAATTTATTTTTTATTTTATTTTATTTTCTATGTATGTCACTAAATTGAGGTTTCTAGTCAGTACAGGATTCAATCTCTATTGCCTGTGTCGGTTGACTGATCTCTCATGCAGATGAAACGCTCTCAGAGGAGCTTGAAGAGTGTCTGCTACTACTAGATGCGTCTACCAAGGGCTATTCCAGTGATGAGGAGAAGGCCACACAGGTGCAGTATGCAGCCTTCTGGTCTGCCATCAGGCTAATTCTCATCTAAAACCAGTGCATCGTGTTGTTTGGCTTCCTATAACTAGACAAGTCCCTGACAAGTCCGCAGTGCGGGCTGGGTACCTTCTTACTTTGTTGTCCTTCTCTCCTTAGAAGTTTCATGATGCATCTGGCAAATTGTCAAGAGAAGAAGAAAGTTTTAAGCAGAAGGACTCAGGTTTGTAGTCTCGATAACATGGAAGAGCTGCTTAAAAAGTAGAAAGGCGTGTTGACAGAGCTGTTGCTTTCTTTCAAGGACAAGTAGACACTGAGCTTTTTGGTATTTGAAGGCTACTTTTTGCATAAGAAATATCTTCCATTTCTCCATTTTATGTATAGTGACAGGCTATGGCAAGATGCTTTCATACGCATTCTGGAATTCATCACTAACTCTTAAATCCTGTCCTTCACCACAGGGGAACTTATTAACATAGCTATTAAGAGCTGGGATGTGAGATAAGTAAAAGAGAAAACATGAAAACTAATTTTTGATGTGCAGTGCAACTTCAACTTAAAAAATAAGTATGTCTGAAAGTTGACTTTCTTTATACCTAAAAATGTAGATGTACACCATCATTATAAGCATTTGGTAAATGGTGACTGGTACTGATGCTTATTACTGCTGTAGCTTTTTAGGTAAGTGGCATTTAAGGACCTTTCTTTAATGAAACAGAACTTGCACAAACTAATTCAAAACTGCAGCACAGTCCCTTTGTGACTGAAAACAACTGAACTTCTAGAAGGTCGAGTAGCAATGGGCTGTCTTCATCCTAATATTCTGGATGCTGATGTAGTTCTGAGAGAGACTGACTTAAAGTTATTGTTGTGACTATGAACTGAGTCACTGAAGCTTAAGTCTTGGAAAAAAGCATTCCCTTTCTTGTGTTTTTATGGCTGATACGTTTCTTACCTCTCCAGCATTTGCAGGATATAACTTCATGGCACCAGCACATCTGCTTAATTTTGGGGGAAGAGAAGTGCTGAGGACTTAATTTTTATCATTGTTTACAGCTGGAGAGGAGTTGATACCATGCAAAGGCAGAAGTAGGGTTATGTTGAGAAATTTCAGGTGTGGTCTGTGACTGTGTTTGAACACTTGCTCCATGAACCCTAAGTCTACTTCAGTGTGCTCCTTGTGGTCAGACTGTCCCCCTTGTACTGGGTTTGTATCACCTTTCTGCCCTGTGGAGACTCCAGAGAGGTGGTTGGTGAAACTCAGATACCTCGTTATGCTCAGAAAAGTGAGCAGTGAGACAAAGGGATGACTTTTTTGTGAGTTTTCCTTAAAACATGGGCTGCAGCCATCCTCACTCTATTACTAAGGGTTTTCCTGGGTTAAAAGTAATTGTATGGCAACTCCAGTAAAGCTGCACAAAAGAAGGCTGTTACGGGTCTGAATAGGTTTTTTTTTTCTCTCCTATGTATTTATGCTTTTTTTTTAAGCAGCAGCTGAAATTAGCTCATGAGCAAATGAGCATAAAGAGATTGTAAGCGTGGGTTGGAAAAGAGAAGGGGAAGAAGCTGGGCAAGAGTTTTCTTTCTGATTAGAATAGTGGGGCAAGAAATGAAGTTGTCTTTAAGATGGAAATATATAGCTTTCCAGTTATCTGCATAGCACTAGGCAGTCTAGTTGCCCGCTTTTGCAAGGAAAGAGACTTGCTGGTGAAGTCTTGCTCTGTCCTGTAAGTGTGATGCCAGACCCTAAAATGAAGTTGCCTGCTGTTCTGTAGGGTTGGTAATTTCAGTGGTGGTTTTTACTTGAGTAGGTGGTGGGTATTGCTACATACCTCATGCAAAAGAACAGGTCTGTTCCGAAACATCTATTCTCTTTCTAGACATATTTAGCGGCACTGTCATAAAAAAGCCTAAACTTTCCAGCTGGGAAACAAGTCATTTGTCCTCTGACACTTCCTATAAACCAAGAAAACTTTTTGATTCAGTAGAGAAGGAAGAAGAGATCCAAACAGGTAAAGTCAGGTTGGCAATTAAGGTGAAGTGTTTAAATGCTTTCAGTGGGTGTGGTGTGTGTGGGTTTTTTTTGATGGTAGAAATCATAGTCATGTGGAAGCTTGAAGACAGGTATTTGTAGGGGGGGTATCTTCTCCAAATACAAAATGTGGCAGAAGGCACGTTTTGAACCACTGCTGTTGGATACCGCGTATGTAGAGCTGTGAATAAGGAAATTTGGGTTCCCTAACCACAATCCACTCGGGAAGCTGCTCAATGATGCCAGCACTTTCTAGTCTTTCTGAATAGTGATTGTCCAGAGCTTTAAAAAACCCAACAAATCACACAACAAAAAAGAAACACACACACACACCCCCCCCCCCCCCCGCTGTGGGCAGGACCAGGCCAAACACAACAGAAACAACAAACAAAAAGGCATGCAGGTAATGGACAAAGTAACTGCAAAACACTGCTAACTCCGAACAGAAGTGGATTAGGTTTTCTTTGCAATGAATAAGTAGAAGAAAGGAAAAATGTGGCCTGAATCCTTCCCCCTGCCTCGCCTTGTGCTGTGATTTTTTTTTTTTTTTTTTGCCTCGTTATCTGTAAATATGTTGCTCTCTGCGTTTGGCTAGTATTGTGCCTCTTCTTCCATGCTGCTTTCTAAAAAAGCCTTGATCAATGCATTTTGGGGCAGTTTCCCTCCTGCTTGGGAGCTCTAGAAGAGCAAGACTCAAATTCCAGCTCTATAACAAATGTTGTCGTTCACATGAACAACAAACCCTTTGGTAGCAGAAGGGTTTATATTCCAATAAGCCCTCCAGCATGGCACTAACTCGGCATACACTTTCTCCTAGGTCAGGAAATGGATGATAGTGTGGATGATGCATTTTTTACCAAGATGCTACGTGAAGACTTCAGTGATTCAGGGGTGATTACTGCATTTGAAAGCTTTATCGGCCACCTAAAGAAATTGTTCTGGGTAATGTGCGCTCTCTTAACCCGTGCGCCGTATGTAGCCTTTTCTCACAGTACATGAAATTACCTTTTTTTATCGCCAGGGGAGTTGGTGCAAATATCCCATCTATCTTTTGTGCCCAAGAGCAGAGTTTTGGCTGCAGTGTCTGTTAGCCTGGAGCTCTTAGAAGTATTCTGCACAACCTGCATTCTCTGAGAAGTGTTACAGGAAAGGTGTAAAGGAAGTTTTAATTAGCTTTTTCCTTTTTTTGTCTTATTTATATGTTGGAACATCAGATTTGGTTAGGCATTTGAAATACTCAGAGGGAAGTGATCGAAGCTTTTTGCAATGTAACCCAGCACAGTGACAGTGTACCTACATTGGAGCTGTGGGCCATTGTCCTCATGGGCATGTATCAAAAATACAAAAACTCCCTTTTGGAGTGCAGCATAGTTTCACTGCAATGGAGGACTGTGCAACTTTTTCATAATGAAAATCCAGAAAGCAATACAGACTGCACCTATTGACTAGAACATGTGTACATTCATGAGGAAACGCTAGTGTCTTTGAGATTAATGGTACATGGAGGTGTTGGTTGCACAATTGGTAGTAAGCTGTGTATCCTTGGTTCACTCAACTTGAGATGTAGTGCAAGCAACCAACTGCTACTGTTGGTTTAGCTATAACAAGTAACATGGATTTAAACCAAGTTTAATATGAGAGGACGAGATCTGACCCATTACAAAATCTTCTTAAGGTTTAAAAGCTTTGAACAAACCAGATGTGGCAGGGCAGATCTCTACTGGATCAGCACTTTGTCATCGTGCAACCATGATTTTCTGAGCTGGTGCTAGGTGTTCACAGTAAACTTTTGGCACTAAGTCCTTGAATCAAGGCTGGAAGTGGTTGCATTTAGAAATGGGTTATGATTAAAACGTACACAGGTTGCATTAATGCTGATCTGAAGCGGTGCTAACAAAAACCTGTTTTTGTGCAGTTGTTAAGTGTGTTGGGCGTATGGGTGAAGCTCACTTCTTTGCTGGCTGGGTAGCATGACCCTGACCTGAAGTTGCATGGGTTACATAGAGGTCTGTTGGTGTAACTAGTGTGGCTGAATGAAATCGGTTCATATTTGCAGTTTCCTGCCTATGTGCCATCTGGCTTCATTTTAAATTTGACTTAAGATGGTTTCCGCTAAGCTGAATGGCAGCCCGTGGAGGGGTTTGCTTTCCAGGGAAAAGTTTTGCAAACTAGACTTCTAGATTTCGTCTTGGGCCATTGCCCATTCCTAACGGTGTGTCCTGTGGTTAGTTGCGGTACAAAAAGATGGAGACCAGCGCGCAGAATGCCCTGAGGACTTCAGAGAAGAATGTGTCCGCCCTGCTGAGCCAGATACACGAGTGCAGGTAAGCTGTCTGCTGCTGGCTGGAAACAGCTTCAGCTTTCTGTAAATTTTGATTGATATGAAAAGGAATGCCTCTCTGCAAGCAAACCTGACAGTCGGGTACCGCACTTGTTAAGGTTCGTAAGGCAACATAGCTTGTGTGTGTGTGTCTCTTGCTTTTCTGTAAGAAACGTTTCTGAAGTGTAGCTCCTGTGATTTACCCTGCTTTTTCTGTAAGGGGAGAGCGGGTGGATTAATTAACGCAAAGCAAGCAACCCTCTTGTTACACTTTATAGCTTCTTTTACTACATGTTTTAAATGAGAGTCTGACTTTTCTTCTCCACCTCTTCATTAAGAAAGTAAGGAAGGAGGCTGTTATAGACCCATTTCCATAGATAGTTTCCATGTGTGTCAAACAAATGCTGGCTAGTGGACTTTACAGGCAGTCACCAGAAGGGGCTTTAAGCAGGTCATTTTGCTTTACGGGTTGTCAAATTTCTTGGAGAGGAGCAAAATAAAAAAAATCAGATATAATAGTTATGGATTTGTTATAAGCAAAATACAAGCACAGCCTAAGATATGAGTAAGGCCTATCAGGCCTTCATATCAACTACGCATTCAGTTTGCAGGATCTAGGTAAAACGTAGTATGAAACAGCAGCCTTTTAAAGTGCAAGATCCCTGGTATCGACAGGGTATCTCTGAGCAGAATTTGCTTGTCATTAAGGTACATGGAGAAGTTCGTGTTCCAAAAACAAAACCAGGGAAGGTTTTGGGGTGGAAGACAGGAGTTGATGGTAACGAGCTGCTGCCATGCTTTGATGTTATTAACTAAGTAACCAGAGCCGCAGGACAGCGGGGGCAGAGCTGTGCCAAGCCTGTCCTGCCCCGGAAGGGCAGTGTCTAAAGTCACCATCAGATGATGGCTTGGCGTCCTGCTGCCGGGGGAAGGGTAGCAAACCCAAGCGAAGCAGGGTGTTGCTGGTTGAGGTTTAGAAACCGTTGGCATCCTGTGACAACACTGTACGTGTATATGAAACCCACGGTAGGAAAACCCATCAGAGGTTATTTGTGCCAAGATGCTGTCTTCAGCTTGGGAAATCTCTGCTGAAATCCCTGGAGGCTGGAAGACTATGCAGGGCAAGCACTGCACTGGGAACCCTGTTGTACGCTCTGTCTTGGGCCTCCGTTACTGGCTGTAACCAGTAACCTGTTTGAGACAGGTTATTTAGCTAAACTCATCTTCAGTTTGACCTGGTACAGCTATTCACGTGCCCTGTGACATCCCTGAGAACAAAACTGCCCCGTGTAGTTCAGAAAGGATGTTTGCTTCTGCCTAAAGGCAGGTTTGGTGCTGAGGGGGTTGTCATCTGTCTTGTGCTACCACACCTCAGTGTCAAACTTGTTTCTATTCTCCATCACTAGGCTGAGCAAGCTGGAGACCTTCCAAAAGACTGTTGTTGAAGAGCTTGCAAGTCTTGAGAAGGAAACTCAAATCTTGGCAAATATGGAGAAAGACGCAGTGGTGTGTAAGACTTCTTGTGTGCCAGCCCACAGAGGTACCCCTTCCCAAGTAATGGGGGTTTTCTTTGGGGCTCTTTTCAGGACTTCTGGAATGCTCAGATGCTGAAACTGAATTCTTTCTGCAACCAGCAAAAGCAAAGGTACGTCTGGCGTGCTCACAAGTCCTCTGATGCTCAAAGAGGGCACTAGTCAGGCTGGTGGTACCCTCGCTGGTATACCGGGAAGTATTCTGAAGCCAGCATGGCATCTCCACTTGGTGTACATCGCTGAAACCTTTGCAGACTTGTGAGGGTTTTGAATTGGGACTAGGGTGCAATAAGTTGCTCTCTGCATGGGAAGTTGTGCAGGACAGGCATGTACTTCAGGAGACCTGTACCAGGATCTGGAACAAGGTGCACCCTCTGATCACATCTGTATCAAGGGGTTAGAGGAGGTGGAAGGAGGTGATCTTTTCCTATACAAAAGATACTGTTGGTACAAAGGCTAGGTAAAAAGCTACAAAAGGGGGGATACTGAGGTTCATTTTTATTATCTTAATAATAAAATAAATTTTTATTATTTTAATATCTCTGAGTTTCATCGGTAACTACTAACACTTCACAAACTAGCCAAGCTCACTTTTCTTCCAGAATTCAGTCTGTTGACTCAGCCCTGGGTGAAACAGCAAGGAGTTTTGTGGACACTATCCAGAATACAACGGTATGTGCAGGACACGAGCAGCTCTGAGCTGTGGCCTGACTGATAAGTGTTGGAAGTGAGAAGGTGAAACTGAAGTCCTAGGAGGGGAAACCTTTGGTTAGCTGATCTGTGGGGCTGGTTCTTTATGGGACCCCCGGTCCTGACGTATGGAAAGCATTGAGAAAGTGGTGTTTGCCCTGCTATGGACTAGGGGAGAGTGGTCAGAAAGCACTTGCCTAAAGGAGAAGGTAAGGACAAAGACCTTGTAGGTAGTGATGCTTCTCCTAGGTTCATACCTCAGGGATTCCTTCATCCTGGGCTGGTTTCTGTGCAGTTAGCTGACCCTTAGTGCAGTTCTCTTCTGTCACTTTGTCCCACTTGCCCTTGGAGTTGTGCATCCATGACATCCTGTGGCTAGGAGACCTGCAGTCTAACAACACCCTGCATGCTTTCTCTCATCTGATTTTTGGGTCTGGCAACACTTAACCTTGATGCCTCCAAGTTTGATTTCTAAAACTCAAATTTATTCATTTACCTTGGATCCCAGTTAAACATTCTGTTTAAGCTGTTAAACTCTTTAGAGTTTAATCTAACTAACCTAAGCCCTCATTTTAATTTGTAGGTTAAGCTGAATACTCTAACTTTGATACAATTCTTAGTTTCCACCTTGTCCATCCCATCACGTGTGTATTTGCTACTGCTGCTGTTCCAGCTTTTACGCACAGACGTGATGACTTTGGGGGTTTGGCATTCCTTTAATAAGACAGGGGACTGCGATGAGGTGTGCGAAGCTGTGTCTCTGCACCGCACAGAGCTGAAGAAAGCTCCCTGTGTCAAAGGGACAGCTATGTCCGTGGTCACTACAGGAGAGCAGGTCTGGGATTTTAGAAAAGATGCTGAAAACCGAGGGCTTGTTTCCCTTAGTTGTTCAAGCTGGTATCCCTTTGCAGAGCGAGAAGTTTCCATTAGGAGCACAGAGTTGCTCAGGGACTCAGGCCTTTACCTTACCACAGGTGCTCCTGATGAAGGACACCTTTAAAGAGGGGCAAGGCTGAGGAAGGAGCAATCGTATCATGGGAGCTGCTCATCCTATAGCACCTTGTTCCAGGCTAGGTGCTTGAGAATGAAAAGCTGAATCTAAATGTGCTTCTAGGTTCTCTACAGTTTCTTTTCTTATGCAATCTAAATGTTTGTATAAGTTTTTGAAGTGTTTTTAATTATCTTTTTTCCTTCCCTGCAGTATGAACGCCCAATGAAGAAGGCAGTAGAAAACAATGTGTTCATTGTTCCTTCTGACTAGCAAACCCCTGAATTCATTAGAGCTCTTAACATTTGAACACCTTATGCAGCTTAGAGAAGACAATCCTGTGAAGGATGTTAATTTGTTTTAAATAGAAAGAAAAAAGGGGAGGAAAATAGCATTGATATTGAGCCTTTTTTTGCTTAAAAAGAATATACACTGAGTGGTCCAATTTTGACCCCTGTGTTGATAACATCAAGTTTTTCTGCAAAATTGCAAAACTTGTCCATTAAATACCAAAGAAATAAAAAATGAACTAAATATCATGATTTAGCCATGAAACTGATGCATATACTGGCTTTTTTGAGTATACTGCTAATACCTTTATCAAATGTAAAAGCATTTAATGATCAATTCTAAGTAAAATGTTGTTTGCCTAGGATAACAATCTCCTCATTTCTTTCAAACTGATATACTGTACATGTCTGGAAAGGTACTCTAGAGTCCTATATACCCTGCGTGGGGTGTGTTAGGGGTAGCCTTTCTTGTGTGCATGCAACAGTGTGGGAACTGCTGTCTTGAAACCAGGGCCAGTCAAATGTGGATTGCAGAGGTGATAGCACAGAGGGATCTACTGGATATTGGCCAGATGCCTGATGGCAAACTGGAGACTGTGGAGGGCAAGAAACTTGGAACATTGCAGAGAAAATGGCAAGTGAAGCTGAAGAAATTATTTTTATAACCAGTGACTGTTGGCTTCTAGGAGAGTTCAAAGTACAGTGAACATTAGGATTGGATAAACTAGCATCAGAGGTCTTTTGCAATTGAGCAGCAGATAAGCCATGCTATTTAACATCATCTTCTACTTTGACAGAGTTCCCTAAATCAGAGTTGCTCTTCGCAAACTGCCTTTAATGCTGTGGCAGATTTCACACGTGCCAGTGCACCTTAATGAATTTGTGGGAACATAGCATGTTTCCAAGCTCTGTGTTTCTATCCACTTTTCTTATAGAACTGATGTTAAATTACTGTGTGGGTTGGAGTGGAGGGAATCATTCTCTGCACATAAGGTACCTTCATGACAAAATCCCACTTCTGCCAGTGTTTGTTTCACCACTGAATGTCATTTGGGGGGCTGAAACTCTTCCTTCTTGGGAGGATCATGCAGGGTAGTGCCAGTGCAAAGAACAGTGAGAAGCTGCTGTTGCCATGACTTGATCATTTTCTGGAGATTATGCTTATTGCTTTAGCTGAAGTAGTCCTGCCTGGAGTTGGCATGAGTCAGGACTCCACCTTCATCCATGTCAAGGGGTGGCTGGCTCTTTCCTTCTGGGCTGGTTTAAAAGAAAAGACCTCTTCAACCCTGCCCTTCACAAAGCTCTGAATCCACTGGTCTGCCATCTCCTGTTCACAATGCGAGGGCTGAAACTGATTTCGCATCCACTAGCTTGCACTTATTTCTTTGAGGGCTGGCCCTGGTGACTTTCCAGCTGCTGTTTGAATCCAGTCTCTCAAAGCACTCGGCCAAAGTGGCTGTGTCTTTCAGGAGATGAAGCTGTAACCTCTGTGAACAGTTCTGCTTGTGCCTGCTAAAGCTGTTTAGTTTTGCAGCCCAGTAATGGAGTTTTCAGCACGCTTTGTGTTCCGCTGACGTGGTGGTATGCTGTGGCTGCACCAGCAGTGTCAGTAACCAAAACAGGCTTTAAGGTATCGGCCTGAATGATCTGAGCATCCCTTCCTATTGCCTGGCTGTACCAGCTCCAAAATAGAAAACCATTTGGGGCTTTTACTACCTGAGTGGTAATGCAAGGTCCTGGGCCTGGGAGTGTGGTAAGGGCTTGGACCACCCTGTTGTTGGTTCTCATAACCTGGAGTTCACACTAGTGAATGTAAACGTTGCTCCCAGTCCTAAGCACCAAGGTGAAGGGTATCTAGTAGTTCCCAGATAAATGCCTACATGCCATGGTTTTATTCCCCATGACCTGGCCAAACATGATTGATGTAATCAGGCCTAAAGTGGTGCTTGATGTGAAGCAGACCGAAGAATTGAGAGGAGCTTTCCACACTGTGGATGCTCTTGTATACTGAACTCTGCAAAACCACAGAAAACAGCACCGATAACCTGCATCCTTGGGGCGCGCGTCATCATCTTCGGGGAGGATGTTGCCTTGGCTGGTTTAGGCTTGCTTACCTGCATCTCCAAGGAGCTTACTGCCTGAAGGGAAGGTTTGAAATAGGAAGAGGGTGAGATGTGATGGCTCTTTGGTTTAAGGATTTTTTCTTTCTTTCTTTTTTTTTTTAAAAACTATGATAATAATGATCTTTCATTTCTGAGATGTTGTTTGATGGCTTCATTGCTCTTTAAGTTAGAGGTGCTAAACATTTAAGCTTTGTCAGCGCAATAGAGTGGGCGCATAGCAAGTCTTGTTTCGCTATGTTTCCCCACTCTTCACGTGTGTTGGCAGAATGCTCTCTTGGTGTCTCCTGTGACTGTAAAAAATTTAGAAACACTTTTCATCCAAGTATCTTTGCTAGGTAATTTACAGAAAGAAGACTAATGCACTCTGTATCTCTTACTGTTGAACCCCCATGTAGCCTGTCACTACAAAGCTTGGAAGGTGACTGAGCACTTCAGGGGGCGTGGTTAAAAGAAAAATCAGGATCTCTTACTTATTAAAAATTATCATAACGTTGTATGCACTGACACTTGCTTTTAACTGTTTTATTGGAAAAGTCTGAACCCTAAAAGGCTGCTTTTAGTGATAGGTATGGGAGAGTGAAAAAGGGATACCATATAGCTTAGGTGTCTCTTACCCCTGTGCTATCAATTGAGAAGCTCAGTGAGTTCTAGCTTGGTAACCTGTGAAGTGCCCAAGCCGGGAAGACATGTTGGAAGTTTTAGTCTTTCCTAATGGTCTTTCCATCTGTAGTCAGTAGCAGCTGTGTTTGGAGACAGCATCTGGGGCAGGAATGACCTTTTCTGATCTTGGACAGCCCATCTCATACCGCTTCCTGTACTGTTGGGTCAGTTCAGCATGTTTGAGTTGAAACCCCCTGAGGGTCTCAAGTCCGTTTGGCTTCTGCAGGTGATACCTTGGCAACACAGACCTGTAACTGGGTTACCCTAACATTTCCTTTTGGAAGGTAGGTAGTTGACCTTTGCAGGTTTCTTTTGCCTGCTTACTTATGATCTTTTAAGTATTGTTTATCCAGCTATTTCTTTTATTTTCTTCTTTTCAGTGTAAATAAATCTCAATTTTCAACCTGTTCTTCTGAGCCAGATGAACAAAGATGATGTGCGTGCTGAAGTGCAAAAACCATGCATCAGTACCCAGAAAAAGAAATGGGAAATACAAAGTGCAGGTTAAGGACAACTGCTTCATGCATTTTATGTTCTTAACCAGTTTAATATTAAACCCTGTTATAACCCCTGCTCTCTTTATGCCATATCTCTTTCAGGGGATGCTGCTCTGCCAAGTGCTTGTTTACATGCACGTTCTTTATCAATACAATGGTCCACCCAAGGTCTAGAGGGCTGCTGTTACCCGGTGGCAAGGCTACGCGAAGGCTGTACAATGCCAGCGAAATGGGTGTCCCCTGTGGCTGGAAACAGGCAGAGTGACCAGAGGAACTCTCTGTGTGTGTGTGTGTGTGTGTTTGCCCTGGCCTGGGGTCAGCTCGCCCTGCTCTCGGGAAGGTGTCTTGGTGTGGGCTGGCAGTGCGCTGGGACAGGTCCTGCTTCGGCAAGCGGTAGGACTGTGTCTAAAAGAAAATAGACAAATTTCCAGGAACAGCGGAGAGCTGTTGTATATGGGAAACAAACACGGTAACAGAGCCTTTCCTGGTCATATACTACAGGGTGTTTTTTGTTTACTGTGAGCAAGATTTGAGAAAACATTACTTATAGCCAGACCGTGAAAGAAGCCCTGCAAAGCTGAGCCTTGATATGCATCAGCAGCCTGATTTCTCTTAGTACCAGTGTTCCTGGAAGGGCTCGTTTGCTCCTCTTTGTTCCTTGGGAGGCCACTATCACTCAAAGCCAGTGAATAAAACCTAACAGCTTTTTCTCTTCTGCTTTACTTCCCTGTCCTCCCACACACACGTTCTGGTGAGCCCAAAACAGCAGGGTCAACTGTTTGCACTTCTCCCCAGCTGTGTTTGTATTTTCAATCTGAAAAAAATTATGTTTTTGAGATCGATTTATCTGTCATCTCTCAGTTTTCTACCATCAGGTCCCAGCTGAAAACAATCAGAGAATCAGAGAATGACTAGATGAGTAAGTACAAGCTTTGAACAAACAAGTTATTGTAATGTTAACTTTGTTCAAAACCCAAGTTTTCACAGGTAGCGGGGCTGTGTGTGTATGGAGAGCTATGAGTTCCCAGCTAGAGTGCTGTGTAATAGAAAAAAGTGTTAATTGGCTTGGTAGTTTGGTCCAGTTTAGAATCAAGTCAGAAGAGATGCCGTGTGTATGGCATTTCAGTGGGACCATATTTAAATCTAGAAAGTGCAAATTATCCAGAGGTGGAAGTGTTAGTCAAACATAACTCCTCAAAACTCTGATATCTGGTTTGGAGAACAGCCCTTGTTCTTGACAGTCGTGACTCTTTAGGCACTAGACTGTGGACCTATCCTCCTTGTGCCTCAGCTTCTGATACTGTGGTCTTTACAAAACTGCTAGCTGTCAACCTGCCTCACCTGAAGGAGCAATCCTACCTTGGAGCCCACTAGAGTGGCAGAGGTATTTTGTGATGGGTGTCTTATGTCACAGTAAATGAGTTGGAAGTATTTTCGAATCTTGTCCTGGTGTATGTTTGGCTGCTCCAGCCTTTATTTACAAGGGTAGGAAGTGCTGCTCAACTTGTGTTTCGTGCCGGGTATTTGTGGCTGAAAGAAGCTTAAAGTTGCAGTATCTGCTCCTTTCATCAATCCATGATCTCTGCTTGGCCAATGCTGACACCTAACCAAGGGACTCATTTATCTGAGAGGCCTGCCATGGGTTTGAGCACCTTTCCTAGACTTGGGTGCTGCTGGAAGCCTAAAGCTCTTGTTGCATCCAT